AGCAGAAAGCTATAAATCTGAACTTCATTATCTTAGCTTCCAGAAGAAGTAGCTATATCTGGTAAAGTATCAGCAAAAGAATTAGCCATTCTTAAACAATTTTGAAATCATTATTTCTTCTGCTTTTTAATGTCCCTTGGGATCAATTCCCTTTTAGTTTTCATGCCAGGTAAATTCTTGGCTTTCCTTCAGAATTAGCAGGCTCATTTTGACCACATTTCCTTTTTTTCTTTAACTGCTAGAAAGCTTAGAGGTAAATTTAATGCTCAGTTGCAGCAGCTGTCTAAGTTCATGTAGCTGGTATTTTATTTTTTAAAACAAACATCGACATAGTGGCTTTTATATGCCACATATATTTTAAATGCTTCATAAATATTAACTTCTTGAATTCATTCCATCACTGCAACAACCCTATGCATTAGTACTCTTACTCCCCTCCCTTTTCAGAATAAGATACTTAGGCCTTTTTCTTCTTTTCTATGAATTATTTCCCCTTTCATCATCACCCTTCAGACTCTGATCAGAAGTTGATTGGATATAAGTATTGCATCATACACCTACACAACTTCAGGTCTGCTCATCCTCACCTGTCTCTTGTTCCAAATGCCACCATGGTCACTAGTGCCAACTACTTCCTGCAGGTGCGTCCTCCCAGAGCCCAGTCTCATGCCCATGCCACACGCCTCTCCCCTCCCTTCCTGGGCTTCCCCATGGACCCCAAGAGGTGAGACATGGGGAGCCTTGCAGTTCAGAGCCCAGAACTGCACAAACAAGAATTGCAGAGGAATTAACATCTCATAGTCAAAATGTTGCAAATGGGAGAAAAATCTGTTCTTTTTTTTTTCACTCTAGACAGTCTGCCCTAAGATGCAACTTTCAGAGCACGGTTCTGTAAGACAGAGCAGTCAGCAGCCCTGAGTGGTGACCCACTCAGTTACGCCTGCTCGGATTTCTCTCCATCCTCCCAGGCCTCGCCCCTGTGTCTCTGGCTTCTGCTCCACAGGACTGCACTCCCTACTCTACAGCAGCAACAGAGTGCTGTCAGGCTCTGCTTTCTAAGGAATCCAGACGAAGACAATTATAAATAATCATAAAGAAAATTACTCCGAACGGACGTTCATCTAGTTATTTCCATTACCTTCAGAGTCAGTACTAGTAACAGGTTTAGTCTAATTGATTCTGGAACGTTATCCCCAGCAGAACATTATGGGCCAGCTCCCTCACCTGTGCAGGGAAGGGGATTGCTTAAGATCACAGGCCCTGTTAGGGTCTTCAGATAGAATAGCCACCCTTAGTGTCTACAGTGTCAAATTTCCATATACATTATTTCTCTTGGTGCTTGCAAATTGAGCAACTAGTATTACTGTCCTTATTTTATGCATATGACACAGAGGCTCAGAAAAAGTGAAGTGAAATGGTCAAGGTCACGACCTTAGCAAATGGAAGAATCAGGTTTACACCAGGCCTCCAAACTCCACTTTCCAACTTCTTTCCCCAGCTGCCTCCTGGTGGTTGGGAAACGGGCCCTGGCTGTCTGGGGAGCTGGGTGGAAAACATGGACTTAGAGGAAGACAGGCTTGAATTCAAGTCTTAGCCCTGTGACTTAACAGATTTGTGACTTTAAGTTACTTAATATCTCTGAGCCTCAATTTTTAACTCTAAGAATGGGGATTACAACGTCTACTCATAGTGTGGCTGTGAAGAGGAAATGAGATAATATATATAAATCTCCCACCAGTGTTTACACACAGTAGGTACTTAATAAACATTAGCCAGTATCAGTTTTCTGTATTCAAAGGTGTCTCCCAAAAACAATATTACCTTCTCTGTTGTAGGTGCGTATTAAGTGTTAGGCATGATGCTAAATATTGTCTATCCAGGAAGGAATTTCTTGTAACTATCCTAACCTCTCTGAGGGAAGGAAGGTAAAGGGGAATATCTACTACCTCCTCTTAATCTCTTGTTTCCTCTAACAATAGTTCATAAATTTTAGTCATTTTTGTACTCCTTTGTTGAACTGTGCCCTCTCTGTGTAGTTGTCTGAAAGCTTCAATTTATAGTTAAGTTTTGTCCTAAGCAACAATACCCTGAAGTATGAGGTTCACGTGCTGATTATATTTTTCTGATATACATTAAAACATACACATTCATCATTAAACTTAAAAAGGGTTATTATTTAAAATACTCCAGAAAAAAAAAAGATAAAACATGATTGAAAAGTACTCCAGAAAAAAAATCAGGTAGAATAAAATTGGCATAATGTTGACCATGGTTGAAACTAGAGATGAGTATGTGGGATTACACCATTCTCTAATTTTATGTACCTTTGAAATTTCTGTAGTTAAATAGTGTAACAACATAGAGTCAAACACACTTGTCAAACCTGCAGGTAGGGGAGTTGAACGCTCTTTGGCAGAGACCTAAAATCATCTCACATTCCCCAGAGGATCCCTTGAGCAACATGGGCCAATAATGCCCACCAGAATGTCACTGTTACGAGAATAGACACCCAGGCTTCAGTCTTCCTCATGGGCTTTGTCCCCTGCATTTAGAACAACTAGCCACACAGATAAATGCCCACGGAAGGCTGGCTGAATCCATGAATGAATATTTCACCTGCTATCCTCCTTGTGGGTCTTAGCTCTGTCTCCTAGGATGTCCTTTAGGGAGTGGGCAATAAATTAACTTAAAAATTTTCACCTCAAAATGATTAGTAATGTAACACTAGGACTAATCTGAGGAGCTCCTGCTGTTTTTCTTTTGTTGCTCTGCCATTTGGCTTCCATTATTGTAAAGAAATACCTAGGGAATTTCAATGAGCTTTTGGGTTGGCATTACTACTACTACTACTACAACTACTACTACTACTACTAAATAAGGTCAACTATATTAGATGGTATTACTTGGCTACTGGTTATGTTTTTTGTCAAAGTATCCCTTATCAGCTGCTACTAAGAACAAGCTTCATAATCATTCACCTCAAATAGGTTATGTGTCATCAGTCTAGAAAAAGGAGGAAGGGGCGAAGTGGTCTCAGGAGCCAGAAGGGACTCTGCGCTTAGGAGCCTGACACCAACCAGGAGGCCCACATGGAGTGTGCTTGCACTAAGCCACTTGGGAGCCCCTACTCTCACACCCATACCAAGAGCCAAGAGAATGCTACCCACTCTCTGCAGACACTCTCTGGGATATTCTGGGATCAGAGTCTGGTATCAAATTAGATATCTGAAGTAAAGGTTAGATATACTAGAAGTCTACATCTATCCAGGCCTTGGTGGGATCCCTTTTTGTACATCTAATTAGGTATCCTAAAAGACAGTAATAGTGTGCTGCTTTATTATGCAAATCAATTAGTATTATGAAAAATACTGTTTCAAATATAACATCATTTTTTCCCTTTGCTGTAGGATGTGAGCCAAATTTCTATTAAATATGCATCTACCTTTTGAGTCTTCTTAGGTATTCAGTGTAACTCTTTTGGGTACAGAAACAATGAGAGAGATTATATCACTATTGAAAGGCCAAAAATAGCAGAAACAATAAAAAAGAAATCTGAGAAATTAGAGTGGCAGTGCTACTCTGCTGCCAGAAAATACAAATACAGAAATTAGGTTTCTACTCCCCAAATTCTTATGTTGGAAATAGCTTTCTCTCTTGTTTATAGAATGAGAACAACCCATCAGATTATTTTTATGGATCTTTTTTAGAAATGAATTGGCTCATGAATGGAAGAGAATGAAGTGGATGCAGGCTTGGTGGCTCAGCAGCCTCTAATTAGCGTTAGCATTGTGTGATGCATGGCCTGATGCTGTACTAAGCCAGTGTAGTTGGACCCCCCAAGACAAAGCGAAGGACCTGTTTCACAGCTCATGGAGTAAATGAAACCTAAAACATTTTTCCAAGGAAGTGACTGAAGCGCATAATTGTCAATTTAACAATTTTACATGGAAATAAAATGCAAATTGTCCAAAAACAAATGACAAGATGCTCAATCTCACTCATATTGGAGAAATTAAATTAAAATATTTGTACTTCCTTACCTTTCTGCTGGTGTGTTGAAATAGCCTCCTAACAGCTCCCCCTACTTCCATTCTTGCAGACAAGTAATCCTTTAAAAACAAAAATCAAGTCACATCTTTCCACTGCTTGAAACTTGGCTTCTCAGTTCACTTACTAGGTATATTTAAACATAAGTTCTGTGACACTTTAACACAAACTGAACATAAATTTTACCATTCTGCAACTGTTTGCAGATACAGTATCTTAGAAATCTTTTCATGTTTAGCACATAGAAATTTGTCTCTGTCTCTTCAGTTGCTGCATAATATTCCACAGTATGGTTAAGATTTATTTAGGCATTCTCTTATTAGTAGACATTTAGGTTGTTAACAAATTTTCACAGTTATAAATAAGGGTGAAGGGAACATCCTATATGTGCTTTCTTGTTGCTTTGTGAGAGTGTTTGTTTAAGGAACATACTGAACACTAATTTTCAAAAAAACCCAGAGCCACGGCTAAGTTGCCTCCCAAAATAGCAGTGGGAACACCCCACCAGTGGAATGGGAGAAACCTATTTACCCGCAACTCGGTCAACATTTGCTTCCAGATGCTCTGGACTGTTTCATTGTCTATTCTTGCAACTCATATCATTCTTTAATTCTGGGCAATTCTTGTCTATTTAATTATTTCTTGAAATACTGTATCCCTCCATCCTCTCCATTTTCTCCTTGTGAATGGTGGAACTTTTGTATCTGCACTTTATGTTTCTTAATTTTCCTTTTCTACATGGCATCTCATCAGCTCTTTCTATTGCATTGTGGGAGAATTCCCTGGCTCAGCCTTTGAAATCACGAATTGGCTCTTTGGTAGCATCCATTTAAAAAATCCATTTCCATTGCAGGTTGCACATTCTTGGCGCGTGTTCTCAAGGCACTGGCCTGGAGCGCCCAGGCCAAGCGGGGGCCCAACCGTCGTTGCAGCCAGGGGTTAGCTGGGCAGCCATGGGGGCTTCCCGGCAGCTCCTGCGCGCAGTGATCCTGGGCTCTCCAGGCTCCGGCAAACACACCCTGTCATTGCGCATCACCAAACACTTCCAGCTCAAGAGGCTCTCCAGCGGGGACCTGCTCCGAGACAATGTGCTGAGGGACACAGAAATTGGTGTGCTGGCCAACGATTTCATGAGCCAGGGGAAGCTCATCCCGGATGACCTTATGACGCATCTGACACTTCAGGAGTTGAAAAATCTGACTCAGTATAGCTGGCTGTTATGTGGTTTCCCTAGGACTCTCCCACAAGCCAAAGCCCTCGATAGAGTTCACCAGATACACCTGGTGATTAACCTGAATGTGCCCTTTGAGGTCATCATGCAACGCCTCGCTGCCCGCTGGGTGCATCCAGCCAGTGGTCGCGTCTACAACCTTGAATTCAACCCTCCCAAAGTGGACGGTATGGATGATCTGACTGGAGAGCCTCTCGTTAAGCGTGAGGATGATAGACCAGTGACACTTATCAAGAGACTGAAGGCTTACGAAGACCACACAAAACCTGTTCTGGAACATTACCAGAAAAAGGGGGTGTTGGAAACATTCTCTGGAAGAGAAACCAACAAGCTCTGGCCCTATATACATGCTTGCATGCAAACAAAACTTACGCAAAAATGCCAGCATCCCCATGAGGAAAAATGCTTGTAAGTAGCAAGATGAGAATCTCCACCTTCTTTCATTTAGAAGTTCCTCATTCTAAGACTCCACCATGTATGAACTTTTTGAAACTTACATTAGTTTCATTTCTATGGATTTTATTCTGGATAGTAAAGATATGCCAAATGAGTCAGATACTAAGATTTATCATTTGAAATTGTCTTCTGTGTGTAATTCAAAAACATCAGCGATGTCTAGACTCTTAAAAATTCTTTTAGAGCAAAATTAAAAGAGCCATTTATAGTAATCTAACTTTTGTTCAGTAAGAATGTGTGATAAGGTTTCCATATTTTCCTGGAAAATAAAAAATATATTCTAATTTGGACAAAGGATCTCATCAAAGGCTTTTGCATAGCCAGATGCCCACCCCCCTCCAAAAAAAATTCTAGCATGAGGGACATGGTTATGTGAGATGCTATGACCATAAGATTCCAGATAAAAGTAACTGGGTTTATAGATCCATTGCAAAATGTAAATTTACTGTTGCCTTTAAACTAAGAAACCTATAAGATGGGCTTATAAGCCATATTTATTTTGTTGTTAAACATAACTTCAGTTTACTGAGAATTTTCAGTTTGCTATAAAAATGTATCAGATGGCATTTAGGAAAAGATTACTTTGATATGGCTTGTTTTCTTTTGAAAATACATGTGCACTGGGGATATAACCTGTTAGAAATGAATGTTAGAAGTTTTTGGTTAAGCACAGAACTGAATGAATTTTCTTTAATGGAAAATATCATTGAAGTCTTATGTTTTCAGAAGTTACTCAGATTAAGAAATGTGTGCTTTAGGATCAACTTGCCAGTTCTCTTTTTGGTCCAAGGTACAATATGCCTTGAAGAATAACAAATTAAAGTATTAAAAGAAGAAGAATGAATAAAAGAAAACTTGGAACAGTACATAAAATACACATACTTTGTTATTAGAAAATAGAAACAGGAACAGGTATGCCTGGAGGAAAATTTCCTTAATAAAAAAAACAGCCATAATTAGTAAACAGATATAGCAATAAAAAGGCTTTTTATAAGACAGGTTAAAAAGGAGCAGGAAAGTAAATGAGTTTGCTGAAGGTGGAGTTCTTTATTTCTGATTAAAGGGGTTGATACCTCCTAGTATTCACTGACATCCTACCTAAAGAGAAAAACAATCCTGCCAGTGTATATAATCTGAGCAGTCATCCTTAAATCCTTCCTTTAGATTCCTCAGTGAGGTGAGGAGGAAGCATGCTTACGTACTGTGGCTGGTGGGGGGAGTGGGGCAATGTCAGAAGTGGAGGAGAAACCTAACTATATCTTAAATGATAGATTTACCTCATTCTACTTGGTGCTAAAGCAGATGAAGCAAATCCTTTTGCAAGCTGTCATTAATTGCCTTTGTAAATGTGGCCCATTTTACTCCACACACTTAAACTACAAATATCAGCAAGGTTTTTTTTTATGGATTTGGGGGAAAAACTTATTTTTCTTTCTTTTGATTTTATTTTTCACTTACTGATGATTTTTCAAAATGGACCAAGTCTTTTTAAAAGAATACATAAAATATTTCATTCTTCAAAATACTTCCTATAACCAATTATTTGAATATTATTATGTACTTTAAAAAAAATGAACTCTCGAACTTAGGAATGATCACTAGGCCCTGGGTTATAAGACATACATTAGTCTTCATGGTAATAAAATTAAATTTCAGAAAAGAAATCAATTTCACCTGCTTTTGTATTGTAAGAATCAACTTTTTTTAAAAAAAAGATTTTATTTATTTCTTTTTAGAGAGGGAAGGGAGGGAGAAAGAGAGAGAGAGAAACATCAATCTGCGGTTGCTGGGGGCCGTGGCCTGCAACCCAGGCATGTGCCCTGACTGGGAATCGAACCTGCGATGCTTTGGTTTGCAGCCCACGCTCAATCCACTGAGCTACACCAGCCAGGGCTCAATAAGAATCAAATTTAATCTCCATGTCTTCTGGTTGACTTGTTGGTGACTGCTGTTGATGTATTAGAAAAATTTACTTACCCTAGTCTTAACTCCTACTTTGCTTGCTCTATTATTTGTCTTCCTTGAGTGTTTGTTCATCCACATTGTTGAGTTTGTCATCTTTTGTAGTGTTGGCCTTCCTTGAATGTGTGATGATCTTCACTCTACAATCTTTTAAAAAAATTTTTTTGTATTGTATTTTTTCCATTACCATTTGGTTGAGATTCTCCATTAGACCGCATCCGCTGTTAGTGGGTGTCATCTGCTTGGGGATATTGCTGGTCCAAATTGTCCTCTGGCCTGTTCTCAGTGACAGTGAAAAAGGATGTCACTGGGTGAGATTTCTCAGAGGTGTTCAGTTCTGGTACCCCATTCCTCTGGCCACAGCCAGCCTCATGACACATGGCCATGCCTGTCTAATTTGGGCTCCTTGGTCAGGAGTCCTACCTGGAGGCTGACACTCTCGCTGTTGTTTGGCTCAAGGTACATGAAAGGGTATCAGTGGAAGAGGAATCTCTGACCCCTCCTGCAGTGGTGCCTGAAAGACTTACATGCTGATGGTCCTTGATACTCCCCTGCTTTTGGCGTTTACCACCTTCAGGGACGAAGCAGGCTTGGTGCTCCCTTCACCTTTGTTGCAATAGTCTTCTATGCACACTCTAGGGTGGCCTTTTTGTGTTTGCACCAAGCCAGTCTACAACCTGTGCCTTAGGATTTAGAGGTTTCTGGTTCATTGAAAGTTTCACTTGTTTAGGATCATCAGTTGAGGCCCTTGCAGCAGGAATGAAGAAGCTGTAGGATATATTTAGTTCACCATCCTGAAATGAAAGTAGATTTCCTTATCCACCCTCAAAATATGAAGTCATCAGACCTCTTAGAGCTGCGGCTTTCAATTCTGACTGCACATTAGAATCATCTGGGGAGCTTAAAGATAGAATATTGATACCCCAAGCATTTTGATTTAGTTATAAGGGGTGGGGGCTATGCTAATTGCCGTTTGTTGTATTATAAATGCTCCTGCAAACCACTTTCCTATGGTAACCGAGCTGATTACCTCTGAGAGGGCCAGCCTTCTACTCAGGGTTCAGCAGAAGCTCAGAACCACCTGGCAGTCTCACCAGCCAGAACTTTTGTCACAAAAGGCTTTGCCCTCCTTGTCACCTTTCCCCCCTACACATAGATATTTAAGCAATGAAGTTTATCATTATTTTATCACTAGTCATCACCATGTTTAACTAACATTTTTCACTTGATCTGTGTTGCTCATCAAAGTCCACATCAAATGTCACTCTAACACTGATTTTTGGAAGCTTGTTTAAACACCTTTTCCTGTATGGCTGGTTGTTCAAATTCTCTGATATCTCTATTGTATTTAAACTCAGCTAATCATGCTCATTTCAAGTATGAAGGTTGAGAAACCAACTTGCAATAAGATCCTGATATATTTGCTTTATGTTTTCTAGTCTTTAATAGTTTTTGTTTGGTTCAAATTAAAAATCTGAAATAAGCCAGTTAAATGGATTTTGGAGATGAGGTGGCACAAAACACAATGCATTTCTCTAAAAAAAAGGCTACATTTTATATTAGTAACTTAAGCTGAAATGGGAATATGCTTATGTGTTCCCATTTCAGTGTCCAGTAAGGACAACTGTGGGATGTCCTTATTCTCCAACTAGGCCTAAAATCTAGGTCCAGATCTATGGGCTTGTGAGGTCCTTGACCATCTAGACAACTTTACAGCAATGTCTTCTGCAGTGAGTGGTAGGGAAACACCAGGTAAGCAGAGTGAATATTGAGTTTGAATAGAGTGCAGGTGGGAAGTCAGAATTAGGGAAAAGATTGGGGAGGTATGTGAGGTGACTTTGAATATCATGACATAGGGGTACCTCCTTCCCTTTAGCAAGCTTAGAAAACTATCATAATGTTAGGAGACTGGAAGAAAGATTCAAAAGTGGTGATGGTGGTGAAGGACTCAAAAGGGACTAGGATTACTTATCAGTAATCAGAATGGTGTGTTAAATGAGAAGGAGGTTATGCCCTGACTAGTGTGTCTCAGTTGGTTGGCTGTCCTTTTGTAAGGCAAAGGTCACTGGTTCAATTCCTGGTCAGGGCACATGCCTGGGTTGCAGTTTAGATCCCCAGTATGGGTACATGTGAGAGGCAGCCAATTCATATTTCTCTCTCACATCAGTGTTTCTCTCCCTTTTTCCCTCCCTTCCCTACTCTCTGAAAATAAATAAAATCTTCTAAAAAGGAAGGGGTGGCATCAGGCCACATGGATATGGAATTTGACTACTGTCAAACTGTAAGGCTTGGGAATTATCAGCTACCCCACTTAGCCAGTTGCAGCCAATTATGACTTTGTGAGGAAGAAGTCATGACGTAGAAGAAATGAGGAGGATTTAAGGTCAGATGTTGACTGGAAGGACTCTGGGATGAGAATAGGAAATCAATTTATTTAGAGGGACAGAGAATTTGAGGGTGGGATAAATCAGAAAAAAAATCTTTACAACTAAGAAAGAATTTGGAAAATATCAGGAAGAGAATTGATGAAATTGCAATAGGAGAAAAAGGAACAGACCTACACTCAGAGGAAGTGTCCTCTAGTTCGGCCTTCTCAATGTTTTTAATTTATCCTTGTAAAAAATGAAAAATAATTCTTACTGCATTCCTTGGGCACTGGGACATTGACACATAAGTAAAGTAAAAGGCCCAGGTAAATTACCTTGAAGCAAATGAAGTCTTATGGGGAGTTTTATCTAGCAAGAGTAGGACCGACTTCCTGGAGTTGTTTGGAATGGCCATTTCGTTGGGCGATAACGGATGGAAACATCGCACAGGATAAGTCCGCAAATGTGATTGTTTTGGAAATGATTTGAGAACCAGTGAAACTCTCTAGCAAGTTTAATAATCCTAGAATCTTCCTTTGCTTAGTTTCCACGACATTGCTCTCAGAAGTTAGCAAACTAAAGCAATAAAGCAATCAGGTGATATTTCTGTATTTATATGGAGCTTGGG